ACAGGCTCAGGCAGTCCACTCACCTCAGCCTCCCAAAGCGCTGGGATTACAGGCTGAGCCACCGAGCCCGGCTACAAACTGTTTTTCTAAACAGTGTTTTCTCATTTAAGTTCAGAGACACCATAGAACAGGTAGTATTTTGCTAATCTTGCCTGTGAGGAGACCGAGCTCCATGACTAGAAAGTAGTAATACCATAGCCTGGGCCACGTAGCAAAATGCTCTCTACAAATATGTGTGTGTGTGTGTGTGTGTGTGTGTGTGTAAAAGCTGGGTGTCTTGGTGCACACCTGTACTCCCAGCTACTCGGGAGGCTGAAGTGGAAGGATCACCTGAGCCCAGGAGGTCAAGACTGTGGTGAGCTGTGAGCATGCCAGTGCACTCTGGCCTGGGAGACAGAGTGAGACCCTGACTCAAAAAAGAAAAGAGAAACAGGTCCAGGAGAGGTAGGTAATTTGCCTAAGGCCACGCAGCCAGTGAACAGTGGAACCGGGATTTAAATCAACTTCCAGCCATGCTTCACTCAGTACTCTGTGTTTTCCAGTCACTGCGTATTGGCATTCGATGATTAGATGATATGGGCGACATCTAAAAGTTCAGTTTCTTGCGTAACTAGTTTAGAAACCACCTAAACGTAATCCATCAAAATGACCGTAATATTGTTCCCTGTGCTCATGTAAAGTTGCCTGGTCACTTTTGTCTAAACAGTGTGAAGCAGACAATACAGTCACTGACCACTATTCCTGAGTTTGAAAACCATCCCAACAGTGGCTTAGGAGAGAGCTGGGAGGCTTGTAGAGCACCAGCTCAAAGTGTTTGTAACCCTTCAGTATGGAGTTGCCTTACGCCAGCAAGGTGCCTCCCTGTCTGTGAATCGACACTGCCCGTCCCCGCCTTTAGCACTTACAGAGCACTTTCTTCGGATGACACACTGAAACTTGGAGAGTGGAAGGCATCTTATCAGCAGGTGGCACAAGTGGCACAATGGCTTGGAGATGAAGAACTGCCTGTTAGTTCTGAGCCGGTGTTTATGATGCAAATTACAAACACCAGGGTTGGGGCGGGGTGTGTTCAGCAGCCTGTGTTCAAGAGATTGAGACTCTGGGGTGCTGAGGTCACAGGGTCATTTTTTGTTGTCCTTTGGCTCCTCTTCTCTGGTCCCAAAACGTGGCATGCCAGGCATTCATATGTCCTCATTAACGGACGCGTCGCGTTGTGCATCCTGAGTAGCACAGATGGCTGTGCTTGGCAAGTAGGCCTGTAAACCACCCAGGAGACGATGGAAGCTTATTCTGCCTACCAGGAATGGTGGGAGGGTCTCCACAGGTGTGAGGAAACTATCAAAAAGGAACTAGCAGGCTTGTATCTTGCACCTGCAGTTTGCAGGAAGGAGCTTTGCAGGAGTCCCGGTTTCATTGCTTAGTTGGTTTCTCTGGTTGATCGAAGGGGGGGCAGTGAGTAAGATGGTAACAAAAATGGTCAGTGAGAATGTGCACGTGAGAAACTAGCACTGGGTGCCGGTCACCACAAGACTGCCTCTTTCCCTGACTTCAGATTAATTATAGTTTAACCTTCTGCCTGCAATTACCACAACGCTTCTCTCAATGGGAATTGAATGGTTCGCTGAGAGGACAGACATCTCACCCAGTGCCACCATGATGAATAAGTCGCCGAGCAAACTGTCCTCCCGGTGAAAGGTAACAATCTGGTGAGATTTTCATGCAGCAGGTTATGAGGAATAAAAAGGCTGACTTCACGTTTTCACTGTGCAGGTACAGTGCCTGTTGGAAAATCGAGAATCTGGGGTGCTCTTTTGTCCTCAGATTGTTTTGGGCTGGTTGACCCACTGCAAACCCTAGTCAGGGAGCAGTTTGCTTCTAATCTCTGGTCCTTTGTTGGCGAGTCTGTGTCCCGCACCCAAGGTGCTGTTGCCGGACTCACTTGGCGCTTTTTCCTAGGTGATGATCTCACTGTTTATGGGGTGGTGATGCAGCGGTGGAAGCCCCTGCGGCAAGATGTGCGCTGTGAAGTGGAGATAGTCCTGAAAGCCAATTACGTGCAAGTAAATAACGAGCAATCCTCTGGGAACGTCATCATGGATGAGGAAGTCCGAAAGGAATTTGAAGATTTTTGGGAATGCTATAAGAGCGATCCCTTTGCAGGTTTGTGGTGAAAGGCATAAAGGGGATGGTTATCAATGGCAGTACAGTCAGCAGTTAAGCATGATGTGTGATTTGTATACTGTATGATTTGGGGACAGCCTCACATGCCGTATAACTCAGTGGCTGAGTCCAGGTGCGACATTTGTCTGTGCCTCTAGCTGTGGTCTCCTTTTGAAGCCCTTTTCTGGCATAGTCTTTTCTGTTCAGAGACCTTCCTGGAGGTTTTCATCTCAACTGTTACTTTCAACACCTCACATACTTTTAGTTACCTTCTTTGCCAATTAAAAATACGTTCTTGAAAAAGGCAAAGCTCATCCTATTATGAATCCGCATCTTGTTAAAGCTCTGGTTTTTCTGATGTATTTTTGATAGTATAGACAACATCACACTATTTGGGCCAAAGATTTTTTAAAAGGGAGTAACGCGAAGAGGGATGACGAGTGCTAGAAGCTAATAGAAGCAGAAACACTGTGACACTAAGATAGAATTACATAGACTAAAACAGCACAGCCAGCCGGTTCGGTGGCTCAGCCTGTAATCCCGCGCCTTTGGGAGGCTGAGGTGAGTGGATTGCCTGAGCCCGCAGGTTCGAGACCCACCTGGGCAACTTGGCGAGACCTCATCTCTACAATAAATTAAAAAAAAAAAATCAGCCGGGCATGGTAGCACATGCCTGTAGTTCCAGCTACTTGGAAGGCTGAGGGAAGGATCGCCGGAGCCCAGCAGGTCGAGGCTGCGGTGGCCGGGAGCAGCCCCTGCCCTCCAGTCTGGGCGACTGAGTGAGACTCCAACTCAAAAAAAAAAAACAAAGAATTACATATTTTTTTTTAATGATTTTTTTTTTTTAACTGAAAATGGTTTCTTAGGACTGGGTCCTTATAAAAATTTGTACTCTCCCTTGGACCGCTCTTATCTTTTATTAGTTACAACGTCACCACTCAATTCTGCCTTTTAACAGTGAAGGAAGACCATTGTTTAGTATTCTGACCAGACCTTCAGAAGGGCTTTGTGCTGGCATTTAAAAGAGTCTGTCTTTTTTTAACTAGGCTACTGTTTTATGACCCATTTATTGGATAAAAGAAGTAAATATAGTAACGCTGTGAGAAATGCAAGTAGGAAGACAGTGAGAAAATGAGCACATTTCTCATTTGGGTTCTCCCTTCTCGGTTTCCTGTGGATCTGTACAGTGCACTGTATTTCTCCATTTCTGTGTGTGTGTGTGTGTGTGTGTGTGTGTGTGTGTGTGTGTGTGTGTGTGTGTGTGAGAGTGAGTGTGTGAAGGTGGGATGCTGCATCCAACAGGTTGTCTTCGCTGGTCTGAGCTAGAGGTTGCTTCCCTCCGTGCTCTTGGAGGCTGACTTGTTTCATTATACCTGCCCCTCTGGGTATTGATTAGGAAGAGCCGAGGAGTTTTATGCTGATCTGCAGTGACCTCAGGGGTCTCTTGATCCTGATGAGTAGGTGCTGGGTAGAAACCCAGATGCAGGGGTTGGGGCCTGTTAGGCCATTTGAACGCTATGGGATCACTCTTGTTACCTTGGAGCTGAGAGGTTCTCTTCACTGGGATAGCTGAGGGCCATGCCACACGCATGGATAACTAGGCCATTCCCATACTACTGACATGGTCTAGAGCCAGGAATCTGGGAGGGAGGTGGGAATAGTGGTAGTATTGACCTTAATGTATTCTCTTCCATAATACAACCAAGGGAGCTTCTATGCCACGAACCAACTTAGAAAAAAAATTTAGGATAATGGCCCTTCCCCCTTATTTTTCTCTGCTACCCCAGTCCTTCCTCAGTTTATCTTTTAGGTTGACCATGGAGTGAGGAAATATTGAGAAATAAGCACAAGTAATAGAGTTAATCGAATAGCTAACAATTAAGCAGTTCCCACTATGTGCCAGGTACTGTTTGTGCAATGTGCTGTACAGATTAATTCCTTTGATCCCCAACAACAGTATGTTGTTACCATCCTTATCTCTACTTCACAGATAGATAAATGGAGGCATCGAGGTTAAAAAACTTGCCTGAGGTCAGGCAAGGTGGCTCAAGCCTGTAATCCCAGCACTTTGGGAGGCCGAGGCAAGGGGGATTGCCTGAGCCTGGTGGTTCGAGACCAGCCCTGGCAACATGATGAGACCTCTCTCTACAAGAAATAAATAAAAATTAGCTGGGGGTCATAGCACATGCCTGTAGTTCCAGCTACTTGGAAGGCTGAGGTGGAAGGATCGCCAGTGCCCAGCAGGTTGATGCTGGGATGGCCATGAGCGGGCCACTGCGTTCTAGCCTGGGCATGGAGTGAGAGACTCCAACTCAAAAAAAAAAGTGAAAAGAAACTTGCCCAGCGTCAGACAGCTGGTACACAGCAACACTGGGTTTTGCATCCAGCCACAACACCAGAGCCGGTGCTCTTTTCCACTGGGATCATGCTTCCAGGCAGCCCGTTGTCAGCAGAGCTGGCTCTGTCAGTTTTGACTTGGGTGACTCCCAGTTGGTTTGCCTGCTCTTGAGCCTGCTTGTTGGGGTTATTTCTTCTTTCCTTAATGTATGATCTCTAGATTCTGGTCATATTTTACATGTCTGCTACAGGTCTTGCCTGCTTGGATTCCTGACCTTTTCTTTGGCTTTCTGCCTCTGGAAAGGGATTCCTTCTGCCAGTAGATAAACTTACTGGATTTACTAAATCTTCTGTTTCCTTTTTTATGAAGTTTTTTTCTCTTTACCATTTCTGCTATCCTGGGTCACATCACTTCAACTTAGTTGCTTGTCACTAAGTCATTTCTGATTCATTACAAAAAGCAGCCCGTGTATATAGCGCCATACATCATGGAAAGGCTCAGGAATGGCTTGTTAGAATTTTGTAGGTTGATTAAGTCAGTGACCAAAATGAAATACCTAACTTTATTCATGGATGATAGGTAGATTCTCAAATTTGGTGCTTTGATATTTCTGAAAATAAAACCCCAAACCATGACATTCTTTTATTTAAAACACATGGTCAGAAGAATTCAAGATCTCCAGCTTAAACTGCAATGATATTAATACCCCAGTACCCCTAAACCTTATTCCAGATAAAATAGAATTTACCAAACTGCTCAGAGCAAATGCTAAATTGACCTGCAGGGTGGATCTATTTTTGGAGAAGCTTCATGAGTCTCAACTACCTCTGTATTTAAAGACGTCCGGTTCCTCTGATCTGACTCATTTTTTCTGAGATTGAACATCTTCCTTTTATTTAGGCAGTGAGTAATTTTACTGAAATTACCACACACCAAGGATAACTGGTATGACTTTAAGGGGTGATATGGGTCTGGTAGGTCATAGAAGAGGGAGAAAAGGCAATTCCATTCTTTACATTCCCTCTGAAATCTGATGAGTTTATAGAAACTCACTTCACATGGTAGAGAGAGTATACGGGAGGATAGTCAGTTAGGCTAGGAAGGGAAATTTGTGAGGGTTTCTTGAAAGTTATTGGTGACTTCTAATCCTTTCTGCTTTTCCCAGGAAGGAATGAAATACTGGCTAGCTTGTGCCCTCAGGTGTTTGGGATGTATCTAGTAAAGCTTGCTGTGGCCATGGTGCTGGCTGGTGGCATTCAAAGGACTGACACTGCAGGAACACGAGTCAGAGGTTAGTAACTATTTAGGAGTGTAGAAATACACAGGGAAAGCAGCTACACATTCTTGCCTGGATGAAAACTGCTGTTGAGCTCCAATTTCCCGTTGTCATCTTTTAAAGCTGACAGCTGTCAGAATATCTCATATCGGTCTATAATCTATGTATCAGAAGTTACTTTTTTAGAATTCCAGAAAGATGGAAAGAAATCGTGTTTTTATTTAACGGGTGCATACTTTTGCTTTAGCCTATAGGTGCCACAAAGTAAAATCCTTACGTTTCCTCTGCTGTGTATATTTTCCACTGGATCCCATCTCTCTTCAAGAGGAGACGATTAGAAGTGGTGCATTGCCGGGCTCGGTGGCTCAGCCTGTAATCCCGCGCCTTGGGAGGCTGAGGTGAGTG